CTCCCTCCTTCCTTGCCTCTTTCTTCTTCCACCCCCTTTCTTCCTGCCCTCTTCCCTTCCTCCCTCCCTTCTTCCTCCCTCCCTCCCTCTGTCCCTTCTTTATATATCTCTCTCTTCCTTTCTTCCCTCCTTTCTTTCTCCCTCCCTCCTTCCTTGCCTCTTTCTTCTTCCACCCCCTTTCTTCCTGCCCTCCTTCCTTCCTTGCCTCCTTCCTTTATTCCGTATCTCCCTCCCTTTATATCTCTCCCTTCCTTCCTTCCTTCCTTCCCTCCCTCCTTCCTTCCCTCTTTCCTTTCTTCCACTTCCTTCCCTCTCTCCCTTCATTCTCCCTCCCTCCCACCTTCCCTCTTTCCTTTCTTCCACTTCCTTTCTTCCTTCCCTTTTTTCCTTCCTTGCCTCCTTCCTTTATTCCCTATCTCCCTCCCTTTATATCTCTCCCTTCCTTCCTTCCCTCCCTCCTTCCTTCGCTCTTTCCTTTTTTCCACTTCCTTCTCTCTCTCCCGTCATTCTCCCTCCCTCCGTCCTTCCCTCCTTTCTTTTCCTTCCTTCCTTCCTTCCTTCCTTCCTCCCTCCCTCCCTCCCTCCCTCCCTCCCTTGGATTTCAAAGTCACCCATCTCACCAACACAGCAATTGTCAGCAATTTACAACATAATAAAACGTTCCAGCGTGCGCTTTAACAAGCCATTAAAATCAGAATAAAAAAGTTTAAAACTAAAAAGCCAACCATGACGGGCAGCCTGATTTTTTTTCCCTCTCTCTCTCTCTCTCTCTCTTTCCCCCCCGGCAGGTTGGCCGAAGCTCCACGTCCAGGTGTGGCACCAGGACGCTTTTGGGCGCACCGATTTGTACGGCTACGGCTTCTGCCACGTGCCCTCCAGCCCCGGCGCCCACCAGCTGGACTGCGTGACGTGGCGCCCGCTGGGCTCGTGGCAGGAGCAGCTGTCCCAGTGCTTTGTGGGAGGCGGCCCCCAGCTCATCAGCAGCGACCTGATCTACACAGGGGGCAACCGCTACCGCCTGCAGACCTGTGCCATGGGCACCGTGCACTTCCAGCTGGCGGTGCTGCTCCGTAACTTCGACCGCTATGGGGTGGAATGCTGAGTTACCCCCCCTCTCAGGACGGAGCCCCTTCGCTGGGCTTGGAAGCAGAAGATGGGTCCGTGAACCCCCAAAGTTCAGGCATCGGAAGAACCTGGGGCCAAAGTGGGGGGAGGCTGCTCTGGGAAGGAAGACCCCCCCCACCTCTGCTTAAACTGAGAGAATCGCAAGCCATAACTCCAAACCAGGGGTCTCCAAACTTGGCCACTTTAAGACTTGTGGACTCCAACTTCCAGAATTCTCCAGCCAGGATAGCTCCTTCCTTCCTTCCTTCCTTCCTTCCTTCCTTCCTTCCTTCCTTCCTTCCTTCCTTCCTTCCTTCCTTCCTTCCTTCCTTCCTTC